AGCTTTAAGGGTAAATTGCTTTAATTGCATAACAGTTTCCATCAAGACAAGATTTGTTTCATTCGGAAAAATTAAGGAATGGTTTGAGACTCCGAGGATATGAGTTGAGTTTAGCAGCTGTGCCAGAGAATTTCAGCTTGGTCTGGGGTAAATTGTAAATCCTCATATTGTTCAGACTCCTAAATAAAAAGGAAAAAAACCATATACACACAGCACAAACAAACTATAAAGGGAAGGTATTTGTCTTCCTTCTGGTTTGGTTTTTGTTTTCAAACCTGTGAAGTGTTGGGGCATGAAATGCCTTTGAGTTCCTTGCAATCCTGACTTTTGTAGTTTACTGCCTTTTATTTTAGAGAGCTCTGGAAATACTGTGTGTAAATAGCCTGAGAGTCATGGCAGCTTTCTGTGGGTGGCTGATAGGCTGTTACACCTGTGTCTTTAGATAAGGGGTAGCGTAGCTGTGAAGTGACAGTTTGGGCAGTGACAATGTACTGTCTGCTTTTACCTTTGCCAGTGACATTGTCAGAGGACACTGAGAATGGGTTTGGTTCACAGAGATTCTTTCTGAGATGCTTTTTTGAATGCAGTGTTCCTTGCCTTTGATGATAAAGTAATGGGGTGTTTAATTTCACAGGCAGGAAGGGCATAGCTTTCTCTTTCATATGGATGTAAGGGAAGCTTAATAGGTTTTCATGTTTGTCATAGTACAAATGTCTAGTACATGGCAGATACAGGAGCGAACAAAACCGTGTTATATTGCTTTGACTCCTTAGCACTCGGTACATTTTCCTGAATTTTGGCATGCACATGACTCTTCCCAGTGCTGAAGTAGCATCAGACTTTGCAATCAGTGTTTGCAATAAACATGTTTCACAGAGCCTTGTTATGCAAGGTCTCAGCTTGTATAATAGATTCTCTGTTCCCCTAAGGATTTAGCAATTGGAAATAATAGAATAAAGTTTAAATAATGACACTTCATTGCCCAAATTTGTTAGGGGAGAAGAGCTGTCTTTGTATTAGCATTCTTGAACATTTTTACTGTAGGAAGCTTTTAGGATAAAAATACCACATTTATTTTCTAAGGATAAATATTTGTATCTGGGGAAAAATAATCTATATTGACCTTTAATTTCGTAGGTAGCTTGTGTTCCTTTTGAGGAGCTCAGAACATACATACTGAGCAATGCCTCACATAAACTGAAGTTCTGATACCTTGTTAAATGAAGACAGTGATAATCTATCCTGGAAATACTGTGAGAGAACACCTTAGGCTGGTATTGCATCAAAACTCCTTGGTAGCTTTCTCAGGCAGGAAAACAACTCAGAGGAAGACTTGATAAATTCACCCTGTGACTGCCACCTGGTGTGTGCTGGAGAGCTCCTGAAATCAGCATTTCATGGGGCCAGGACGAGCAATACCACTGTTGATGCCACTCAGACCCTGCAGTAGGAACCACAGCTTTGAATTGTCTCAACAGCTGAGGCCAAGTGCCTTGTTCTAGTAGAATACAGGATTATCACTGCCAAGAGGAAAAAACTGTAGTTTCAGAAGTACTTCAGATAGTCAGGAATGGTAAAAATATTAATATTTTATATTATCCTCTTTTTATGATATTTTTGAATGTTACAGCAGTCATTTCCAGCAGTAGTTCCTGAAGTAGTATCTGGGGATTGTTTTCTACTGGAAAATGCAAGACTTTCAGTCACTTCTATTCAGACCACCTCATCTTTCCTAGATTTGTTTCACTCTGAAATGACTAAGTCTGGTAGCATTTACTAATTGGTTTGGCTCCAGAAAGTGAATGAGAACAGTTTGCAAAAAGCATGTTTATAGTATGTCTTTTTTGCTTTATAATTTTAGTTGTTCAAATTTGCAGTGCTTGAAAGGTGAAACTTTGTCAGACAAGGAGTACAGAAAGCAAGATTTGCATGAAGGCAGTGACACACACTGGGACTATACTCACTTCTAGTTAATCTCCTTACTCTGCTCTTTAGTCTGTATGTAATAAATACCACAGATTTATTTTCATCTTTCCTAACTTTGGAAAATCTGTGGATTTTTCTTGAAATGGACTTCAGAGATCTGCGAGAATAGTAAGGCTGAAACACAATCAGAACTTGGCATGCAATTCTATAAAAATCTGGAACTTTAGTCACAAACATATTATGATTCCTGCCTATATTAACAATGCCAGATTAAAGTAACCCTTATTTATTATCTTGTGATTGAAACCACAGTCCACTGAAAATGTCTTCCAGGTCTTGGGTCTGTAATAGATGTGCTCACACTGATCATTAAGTCATTAGCTTAATTATCTTCATAATCATTTAAAAAGTTTGACTCTGGTTAATAGCATCCTTGTAGAATGTGCAGTTTGAAGAGCTTCTGAAATGGGAGACAAAATTATATTCTTTTGATAGTTTGTAGTTCTGAAATTTGCTGTATGCTCATTCCTACAAATTAACGGGGTGGCTCCCACCAAGTTTAGTGCAAACAATTTTTTAAAAAGTTAGTGGTTATCCCTGCTGTGTGTGTGCATTTTCAGGTTAAAATACATTCATTTTATTCCCTTTTTAATCTTACTGGTTGATGGACATTTTCAAGAGTATGGCAATTTCAGTCTTTCCTTTAAAGCTTCTCACAGCAGAATTTCCTAAATGTTGCAAACACAAGCCATCAGCCAAGTCTTCAGCAAACTGTGGTGTCTTGGGAAGTGGTTTTGTAATGACTGGTGCAGTCCTTAAAATATATTGTGCACTGTTGCCCTCCTTACATTCTTTAATGACAATCTATTTTTAATAAAGCCATTTAGCTTGGTTAATTAGAGTTAGTAATAAATCTCCTAGTCTGCTGACTAATGTTAGACCGCACTCAAGGAAAACGAGGCTGCAAGATGAACTGCATGTATTTTGACTTTTTGTGAGTGTTACACTTGCAAGGAAGATCTTTTGAAGAATACAGTGGCTTTGCCTGTTAATGCAAGTCATAGAGCTAACCTCCATGGAAAATAGGGATAGAGAGCGAGTGGAAAAATGGAAAATAGCACATGCCAGTAACCTTGCAGAGCGGGGCTGATATAAACCTTCATTCCCAGTTCTAGTCCGGTGTTTTGTCAGTAGAATGCCGGTTTCCTTAGCCAGTTTTTCCCATGAGGCTTCTTGCAGCTGCTGATGTTTCTTTCTCTACAATTCATGTGAGATGTGATGCAGTTTCTCTTCCCTGCCTGGTGTGCCCGGAAGCTTTCTGGTCCTTGTCCTCAGCTTCTGAAGTCTCAGGTCAAAGCAGATCCCTGTTAATCCCACCTGAACTGGCTCGTTGTACTGTACTTCACTAAGCCAATGGAATTCACTCTTGGTCTCCTCAGCTTTTCTGTGAGTGTCCCTGGAACAGACTAAAGCCTGTGCAGGCTCACAGATGTTCTCAGCTAAATTCTATATGATCATACTTGTCTAATCTGCTTTTTGGGGCCTGTTAGCTGTGCATAGGTGAGGCCAAGTGGACTGTGCAGTTGTGACCTCAGACTGTGATCTGCTTCTGGTCAGACTGTACAGTGTCTTGCAGTAGGTCAGAGACTCACTGTGTACATAAATACATGCATTTAATTCTGGCAGTTTAGCTCTGTCACCCAGTCCCATAGTAACAGCTTTTTCTTTAGTTTTGGTCATTTTAAAGCATGTGGTTTAACTATTTGTGATTTTCAAGCACATAGTTAACCATTACAAATAAATTGATGCTCAAATATAGAGTCCTGAAAAAGGACTTTGCTCCAGGTCTGTAACTGATTGTTCCAGAGGTGCAGATCCAAGGTAGATGCTGTCTCCCTGGTTTGCTGCTTTGGAGAGGCTGTCAAAGCTGCATATCCAGAGCTGCCTGTTACTGTAGTCCACGTACAAGCTTTTTTCCATTTATAATCCTAGTAGGAAGTGTTTCATTTAGTTGATAATTCATTAATTACACCACAGGCTGGGCTGCACTAAGCTTGGTAGTACAACTCAGCTTTATTCTTATCATCTCCAGTAGGGGAGGTAAGCCTAGGGAAAATACAGAGAAGAAGATAAAATACAATTTGGACAATGGGAGTAGTTCTTCAGGTCCAAACTGAAGGAGCCTTTCAGCTGCTCATTGATGAAATGGAAAGGTTTATAGAAGTTAACTTCTTCTAATAGTAGGACAAGTCACTGTGTCTTAAATTGCTAGTTTTAAACTTGCTGTTTAACAACTTCAAAACATTCTGTTTGAGGAAAATCAATTAATTTACCTGAATTTTGACTTTAACTTTTGTCTGTCTTCCACAAAATAGTTACTAAAACAAGAGATTTCCCTGAATTTAATGTAAGGGATTTTATACTAATAATTCAACAACCTCCTTTTTTGAGCATCATAACTTACTCTAGTAGCAGGTACATAAATGGCATGAACAATACAAGTATCAGGCTGAGGTTTTGTCACTTACACCCCTATTGTTACATGAACTATTTTGTGAGTATAAATGACAGAAAAACTTTATTTGCCATTTTTTATTATCTCTCACTGCATCCACAGTGGTGAGTGTCTTCTTTCCCATTACTGGTGTGTTGAACCACCTAAGTGTTTTTTTTTCTGTTTTGGAGGAAGAAGGGGTTTTGCTGGTATGAACAGTGAATTCATACTTAGTTACAGATAATGATTAGTACTGATGGTTGATCTCTTTCTAGAGCAATGCTATATTCATATAACTGCCCAGAAGTTAACTCATAGGAATATAATTTTTAAAGAACAAACTAAGTGTTCAGTTGTTTGCTATAGACTCCAGTCTTACAGTTATACCTGCAGTAAGCTTTAACAGTATGTATCAAAATTAATAAAATCAGGATAACAGTGATTTAAAAAATGATAAAAAATGAATAGAGGGGAAAAATAGAGGAGGAAAAAATAAGGCAAAATTGTATTTTCAAAATAGTGGGTAGTACATTGTATGAAGTTATGTAGCGTTTCTGAGAATTGATAATTTTGTGTTTTTCTCCAGGATTCAGAGTTCCCTGTTGATACTGAAGTGAACACATACCTTGAGTGTGCTAAAGAACATACTCAACCCCTGAAATCTGGAGAGTATCAACTGAGCAACATTCTAAAAGTGCACGACTTGGCAGTGAGCTGGTAGGAGCCATTAACGGCACATTAATTTTATTATGTACGTGTTGAGTTTTATTTTTCAACAGGTCATTGAGAAGCATTTACTGTAAGTAAATTTCTGAAAAATTATTGGCAGCAGTCCAGGGGGACTTTGTCTCCTGAAAAATGTGAAAGGGGGAAAATGATCGTGAAATGTGGTGGGAGTGTAAATACAGTAAAACTCCTGGGCAGAACTGTTTACGGATTGAGATTCATCTGTTGTGTAAGAAGGGTGGGATTTATAGATATGAAAATGGAAACCAGAGATAACTGTAAACTCAGGTTCTAGGAAACTGAATTATAATGCTGAATATTTTTGCAATTTGTATTGGATTGCAGTTTATTCCCTTGGGTCAAAAAACCAGAAGAGTTTAAATGTAGATTAGCTTGAGCGTGCAAATAGCCTGTAAGCAATGACATTTCAGGGCTTGTTAGCTGCAGCTGAGGAAGAATGAACCTAAAAATGTTTTTTAAAAAGTTAGACCTTGTAGCTAAGTTCTGACAATTCTGGCATATTGTCTAGGTATGAATATATTTTTAAATTAATGTTAATATACTTTTGTCATTTGCATAAACGTTACGTAGGTTGATGCTGTTCTTGCTGTACTCAGAGTGCTGGTAGATCACTTCTGAAGGTATTTCCCTAAAGAAGAGCTGTGTTCCTACACTTAATCAAAGAAACTTAATTTCTTGCTATATCCAAGAACCATAATCCAGTGTAGTTATGCTTTAAGAGTCAAAAACTTGGGCAGTATAAATCTCACCCAGATGAAGAATTTGACAGTTGACTGACTCGTTAAAAAAAATCAAGTGTTGTGAAGACAGAGGGGGTACCATGTAAACAGGACACAGAGTCAGAGCCAAGGGAAGCAGTGGCACACATGGGTGGGTACATGATAATGTGGGCATAAGGTAAGTTGGCTGTGAAAATAGAAAAAAGATCTTTACCCATTTAATAATTATAATGCAAAGGTCACAGATACTTTCTCGAGGTGACTGCCCATATTTTGCAGTCAATAACCAGCACACTGCTGGGAGCTTTGGCCTCACCAGGCAGGCTTCTGCTTAGTCTCAACTTCAGTTTTCTGTCTGGTTTTGAATAATGCTCTCCCAAATAGTTTAGTCATGTTTGTCCTAGCATGAAAGAGAGCTTGCAACTGGTGTCTCTGTGCTGCTCCTCCAAGGAGGCTGTAGGAAATCCACCCGAAATATTAGTGGGCTCTTTATCTGGAGAACACCAAGTTCAAGAAGAGTGTGTTTAAAAAATACAAACTGAAAAGAAAACCAGTCTGGAGGAGGAAGAGGAAGATACTTCCATACTTGGAAAAACTGGAAGATTTTCAATGGATCAGGTAGAGTAACCATCAGTCACACTGTTGTAACCTGTACAGGCTGCATCAGCACCAGCTGTACATCATGGCAGGCTGCAGATGGGCAAGGCTCAAGCCTTCTTATTCTTTGCCTTGTTAAGTCTCCCTTTACCTGTAGAGGAAGCCAGATTTGAGTTGCAAATTACTCCTGAATGTTGTTGCAAACTACTCGTGAATCTTAGAATACATAATGTGTAATTGAAAGTATTGGAAGCACATGAACTAGTCAAGAAAGGAATTTCTATCAAAGCTTTTCCATTATCTTGCAGCTGAACAACAGATAAATATCCTGCATGTTCATGTTAGACTATTCCTTGTTTTCTTTATCTTTCTTGAATTGTATTTTTATATCTTAGTGAAAGCATTTTTGTAGATCCTTACATCCAGTGCTTCTAATTATTGCTGGAAGAGATACTTTCATATGCTGAGGAATTCTAAGTATTTTTTGCAATCGATAACTGGATATCACACCTTAAGGATACAATGCCACTTGAGAAAGCAATTTACAAGAATAAAAATAAATTGGATGTCTTTAAACTTATTTGGAAACACTTTAGAACTTGGTTGGAGAAACAGCAACTACACTGAAAAAAAACCTGACAGTGAGGATGTGTATTTAGTTTCATATACTGGAAATATGACATTGACTTTCATGTAAAGATAATGCTTAAAAGAAAATGAGAGTCTGAGGTAGTGCTCTAAAATTAACTGAAATGCTTACTTAAAAAAATGTGATAATATAAAAGCAGGTGAAGAACAAAAGAATATCAAAATGTTCTTGAACAAATGTAAACAATGTAATGGAACTTTTCATTTGCTAAAAAAAAACCCTGTGTATGTGGTGGGCCATAGTTCCTACATGGTTAACTATGTCTGAAAAAAAAAAAGCACTTAAAACTTATTTCAATTAACAAAGATTTTTCCTGGCTGAATACTACTGCTTAAAATCAGTCTTTTTAAGTAATGGGAAAATAAGACTGTCTTGTTTCCCTTGTTAATGCTAAAGGCTGTGTTGTAGGCTGGTTTGCCTTTTTCCGACCATGTTTCCTACAGTAATTTTTTAACACCCTGCTCAGTTTCAGACAAATTTGGCAGAGCAATAAGAGAGTCAGAAGTCCTGAGGTTCCCCTGGGTTTCAAGAGAACAGATCTCTGCTTAAGAAAGGGTCACTTTTAGGACCGTGTAGGCTGCAGGTGGCTAAGAACTACAAGAGGGAATAGAAGTTGCAAGTACTCTATTTTTTTGGGAAGAGCTTCAAATGGAGCTTGTCCCTTATTAGCTGCTATAGAATCCAATCTCCAGGGACACAGCTAATGCACATAGAGCTTGGCTTATCATTTTTAGTTTGACATAGCAGCTATTCAGTCCCAAATCTGCCTTTCCTTGGAAGTCCAAGAGGTTATTAAATGCATAAATCAAGATTTTTCAGAGAAGAATGACTTGGATTAAATTATCTGTGTAGGGAATTAAATAAAAATGGCCCATTTAAAGGAATTCTGAACTCTCACTAAATGTATTTCTGGTAATTATGATTGTCTGTTTGATTTTACAGACACAAGGGGGAAATCCATATCCACTAGATGAAAGTTAATTTTTTCTTGTAGATCATAGGATAGATGGAAAACATTCTGTTGACTTATGAGGCCAGGTTTGCTTTTTTATGACTTAGGTTTTGCTCATGAGAGTCAGTGTATCAGAAAGACAAAAGAATCTGGTTTGTCTGTGGGTATTACTGGATTCCTTTACATTTCCTTAGAAATTGGAACACCTGCAAATCCAAATTCAAGTTTTTACCTGCCATAAAAGTGATGTAGATTATTCTTCAGACCTTCATCAGTATTCATTGAAACGTGTATTGGCTGAGGGGGAGAACCAATCCCTTGGGAAACAATGTTTGTTTTCTGTGAAAGCTGAATGATTCCCACTTTTCAAATCATCAGGTGAGTGTTCCTTTCTGCATTAAGCTCACATTTCTCCAGTGTCCTTTTAAATATCCTGGTAAATCTTATTCTGCCTACAAGAAGCACCGAAACAATATCTGTAATGGCTGAAGGATCTTCTCAAACTTACTTGTTCACTTCCTCCTCGCCTTCTTCCTGCATCTTTGCTGTAACCCCAAAGGGTTTCCAATGGAAGGCACTTCTGCAGTCACCACAGGCATTGCTACATCTGTCATGGCTTATATTGTCTTCACTTGGGAAAAGAAAGATGCCCACAAAAACATGATTCATGCGTTTTTAATGGTTACCACAGCATTGGAAACCAGGACAATATCAGGTATTATTTTGGAGAGATGATTAGCTAAGAGGAAGCTGAAAAATAAGCATTTTTCCCCTTTTTTTTCTTCCCTTTTTTTTTTTTTGCTATTGTTTAATATATCATGGTCTTGTCCTCCTTTTTTCCATTTCCATGCCTCAAACAGAAGTTACAGTCCTCCATTTAAATTTTATTTCATGTTTTTCTTGCATAGTCATTGCTTTGATGCAATTACTGGACTCACAATCAGAAGTAGCATAGAATTCATAAAGTATATGGCCTAATATGTGCACCAGGAGAGGTTTACATTAGATATTGGGAAAAATTTCTTCACTGAAACAGTGGTCAGGCATGGGAACAGGCTGCCCAGGGCAGTGGTGGAATCACCATCCCTGCAAGTGTTCAAAAGATCCGTGGATGTGGCATTTAGGGGACACATTTTAGCAAGAAACCACAGTGGTGCTGGGTTAACAGTTGGACTTGCTGATCTTAGAGGTCTTTTCCAATCTTAATAAGTCTACAATTCTATATTTTAAATGGATGTTTTACCTACTAGGCATACCTGCATAAATAGAAAATACATTGTATATTACTCTTGTTTACATGTAGCCTCATGTTCTCAAATCCTTTTTCCTTGTTTGATAGTTTGTCAAAGAAAAAGATAGAAAATTGCTAATGCTCTGCCTATGCTCAGTAAAAATATGAAGCTGGGAGATAATAGTAAAGAAAAGCAAATACAAAATGTTTGGTGATTATCTCGCCTTTCCTGATGGGCCCAGTGAAAGATAACTTTTCAATAGGGACTAATTCATCATTATATCTTATTGTACTAGTCTCCCCTGTTTTTTATCAGTGGATTCCAGAGAAGACTTTAAAGAACTTGTCTCCTTAGAAACTGTGCAAATTGACTTGCAGCATAAAATTGTGTAATTGAAATTAAAGGTACGATCTCATAGTGCCTCGTGCCAAGTAATGGAGGTGAAGAAATATTGCAGAACCGTGGACTCTCTCCCTCTTTAGTTCCCATTTACTACTTTTTCCTCCTTAACTTATGAATACATATGACCTCACAGGTGCATGTGCACATCACACAGAGAAATCAGCTTTGCAGGAAAGAGAATTGACATGAGTGTTGACACGAGGAACTTCTTTGGAAAGAGATTATAGCCTTAGGTTTGTGGTAAAATGAGGATATTGATGTGCATTGTCTCTGTTGAGTTCCAGATTTTCTTTTCATACAGTAAGGTCGTGGGGCAGAAAGAATCTGGCAGTGTGTTAAGAACCCTGTGTTTTGTTTATGCCAGTTGATACCTGTGCTGAACTCTGTTTTGGTCCTTCATAGACGTAAATCCCACTTTT